ACTTCCCATCAATGCATGCCCCAGCAAGGGTGAGTGACCCTCAAACCATGCCAGAAAGGTTTCTCCAGGCAGAATGGGCATCCAGGCTCTCCCTCCATTCAGCCGCTCATCCTAGGTGCTCCTTATCACCTTCCCGGGTGACCCCATCACCTTCCTGGGTGCTCAGGCATGCCATTCAGGCCAGAAGGGGTTTTCTTCCAGGCTGCCTATTCCCAAGATCTAGATCTTAGGAACAGCCACAGCAGAGCCCAGCTGGGTGATGCCTTTGGCTCTTCCCATGCTATGATAAGAGCAGTGAGGAGGCCCATCACTAGGGTTCTGCCCCCAGTTTGCCGAATGCTCCCGAGCAAATTGCTTTTGTCTGCCTGTTGCTACTTCCCCACTGTCAACCAAGGTTGTGAACAAGTCTGCTTCTGAGTCAATAGCAGCAGAGACCTGGCACGCTCATCCCAGGTATTCAGAAGGGCGAGGGGCAGGGGGAAAGCAGCCGGGGGGAGGATTAACACTAGCAAATGCACGGAGCTGAGCCTTTGCAGGTGTGAACTCATGCCAAACCAGTGCCACCAGCACACAACCGAGCCCAGCCTAGCGCCGCAGCTGGCAGAGATCGCAGGGCTGGAGCCTGCGTGGCCAGTGCCAGGGCCCCCAATAACTGTCCCTTGCTGTTCTCTTTCCAGAGCAGGGTGAAGCTGCCCAGTCACACTGAAGTAAGGACATGGCTCTTCTCCTCCCCACTTGCCTCTGCACCCTGCTCTCACCTCCTCCATCCCTCCTCCCTGTCCATTGTCCTGTGCTCTGCAGTGGTGGGGGGGCACTGTACCGTGTCCCGTCGGTCTCCGTTCAAGGGACACTCTGGCTCCCAGCCTGCTGACCGGCTAGGGGGGGTGCTGGGGCCAGCAAGGGAGTGGTTAATGGGAACGGGGCAGGGGCAGAAAGGAAAAGGTTAATGGGGGAATGCACAAGAGAGGGTGGGGGGTACAGTGTGGTGAAGAGGGGGTGGGGGGGGCAGGGGGGGGGGGGGAGTTGGCTGGCTCTGCCCCAGTTTGCCCAGCGGCCAAGGAGCTGGCGCTCAGCCCAAGGAGGGGTGCCGGAGTTGGGGGAGGGGGTTAGCCATGGGGCTGCGGCACCCAGCCCCACTGCCAGGCATTTGCTAGTGCCAGGTGGTGCAGCGCTGACATGCGAGGGGCACTGCTTGGCTGAGGGCTCCCAGCCCTGGCATCACCTAGGGTACTAAGGGACAGGCTCACCCTTCTTCGAGCACCCCTTTGGGTGCTGTGCCCCGTGCTGGGTCACAGCTGGGGGTGGGCTGGGAGCAGTGGGTGCAGAGACAGGGGACTGATGGCGGGGGGACATATCGCTCGGCTGGTGGCACTGCAAGGCTGTGCCCACCTGTGCTGTGCTGTTCCAGCGCACCTGCTCACTGGCTCTCTCCCCATGTTTTAATCTTCCCCTGCCCTCCCTCCCTGCTGTGTTTGCTCTTGCGGGTCAGGGACCAGTTTCTGTCCAGTATCTCTGATGCCCCTGTGCTGTGCCAGGCTCTGCCAGGCCCAGGAGCGGGTTCCAGGGCTGTGGGCACCAGAGGCAGCAGGATGGGACCCTAGAGTGGAGCTGGTGCTGCTGACTGGGGTGTGAGGTCACTGGTCCCAGGCTGACGGATGCCCTGAGGTCCTGCCTTGGAGTTTCTGACCCTGCAGCTGCAAATCTGTGCTGGGCGGGGTGGGAGTGGACCAGTGGTCTCCAGCTTGGTACAGCTCTTGAGACAGCAGGCTGCTGTGCTGAGCCAGCGCCTGGCAGCTAGGGGCTCTGACCCAGGGGCTACAACCCACAGGACCCCCACATCTCTGGAGCCAGGGGCGAGGGGAGCCCCTAAGGCATTGCAGTGATCTCCTGGCCAGGCACAGCACCAGGCATGGCCCCGTGCACCAGCACAGCCTTGCCCATGGCACAGCACCAGCCTGGCTCACTCACTAGGGCCGTTCCCTTCTCTTTGCTCTCTGCAGGGCACCCAGATGATTTTCAATGCAGCCAAGGAGCTGGGGCAACTCTCCAAGCTGAAGGTAAGGGCTGAGGGTGCCTGGCATTAGCACCATCACAGTGGCTGAAAGACCCCCCCCCTCCCCCTCCCACCGGTGTCCACTTGCCAGCACGGCTGGAGTGCAGGGAGCTGGGCATAGGCCTTGGCTCAGTGTCCTGGCTGCCCCAATGAGCTGCTGGCTCTGAGAGCAAGATTTGTGCCTTGCAGGACCACATGGTGCGGGAGGAAGCCAAAAGCCTCACCCCCAAGCAGTGTGCTGTGGTGGAGCTGGCTCTGGACACCATCAAGGTGAGGGCGCCATGGGCACAGCACCCATGCAGGGGCTCAGGGTAGCATGATGGGCCTCACGGGGATAGTTGCGGGGACACCCCTGGCTGGGAGCCCAATGGCACAGAGCCTGCCAGACCAGGGGTCCCAGGGAGCTCCCAGCAGAGCTGCTGAGGACCCAGCATCCATCCCTCCTTCCAGCAATACTTCCACGCTGGGGGAGTGGGGCTGAAGAAGACGTTCCTGGAGAAGAGCCCCGACCTGCAGTCGCTGCGTTATGCCCTGTCCCTGTACACGCAGGCCACCGACCTCCTCATCAAAACCTTCGTGCAGACCCAGGCTTCACAGGGTAGGACATGCCACTCCAGCCCTCCATCCCGTCCCTACCACTCCGGCCACCACTGGCTCTGATGCTGGGGGTATGGCTGCTCCATCACTGAGGTTTCTGCAAGGGGCCTATCTCAGTGGGGCTGGAGGTCCAGGCTGGATGTTAGAGGCCAATACACGCCATGGCATGGTGTGCAGGAGGGGGTGTGAGGGAATGCAGTCGGGAGGTAAAGGGTGTTTGTCCATCTGTGTTTTGCACCATGTGTTGGGGATAAAGAGCAGTGCCAGGGTGCCAGGGCCCCCTTCTCGCTGCCTGGCACATCGGGGGCAGCACCCAGGGTTCGTGCATGCTGCCAGCAAGAGGAACGTGTCCCCAGTGCCAGGTCACAGCTAGGCTGACACAGGAATAGGCCCATGGCCAGGGGGAGGTCACCCTCTGGCCATATGTCCCATCCGGACATCCCCAGCCCCAGCATGGCCCTCTGCAGAGGTCTCTGGTCCAATAGCATCTTGGGCCTCTGCCTTTGAGCTAGCCTCTCAGGTAGCCCCGGCCACACTGGATGCAGAGGATTTGAGCTGTCCGCTTCAGACCTCTCATGGCAGCTGGCCCAGTCCTGGCACAGGGACAGGGCCTGTCCTGGGCGCGTTGAGCACCCTGCGTGTGCGTCGCACACTGCTTAGCCCTTCCCTGCTCAAGGTGGCCCCAGCACAGCCATAGGGCACAGGTGCTTCTTAGGAGCTCACATCCAAAGGGATGCAGGGTGCTGAGCACCCTACAGGGACTAGCCCACCTTACAAGGTTTAAATGCCACCCCTAGCTGTGCCCCTTGGCATCTCCAATTGGGGGTGGGGGTGGGGCAGAGCTGCTCGGTGACAGGTCACAGGCCATTGTGCATGGCCCCTGCCAGGTTTCAGCTCCGCCTGCCCAGGCTTGTCTGCGTCTCAGCGCTGGGCTTTTGTTTCAGCCGTCCCTGGATGGGGCCGTGGGGCAGCTGGGTGCACCACCAGCACCCATGGGTGCGCTCCAGCCCTGGGACCCCCTCCGGGCTCCAAGCCAAGGGCCTGTCCGTGCCCAGTGCTTCTGTGTTGCTGCAGTGTCGTTTGGATGCTCGGCCGCGCATCTGTCTGTGATATCTGATTTCTCTCTTTCTGTTTTTTTCCTCCTTCTCTTTTTGTTTTTTCCTCCCTTTACACACATTCTCTCTCTCTCTCTCTCTCTCCTTCCACTTTTTGCCCTGTGTCTCTGTCTTTTCTCTCTTTCCTTCCTATTAGTTCATGGTGGAAAAGGTATTAGGTTTACCCTTAGTGAAGAAATTTATCCTGAGAAGGGTACGTGTAACACTCCCCTGTCCCAGCATCCTGCCTGCCAGCTGTTGCCCTGGGCTAGTAACAGTCCTGGCACCGTGGGCCGGACTGTAGGGTGGTTGGGCCCCCCCCCTCCCCCACAAGCTGGGCAGAGCTGACTCCCTCAGCCCCACAGACATAGAGTCCCAGGGCCAGTTTGGGCAGCTGGCCCTAAATTTGGAGGAATTGGGCTCAGCCCTAAGGGAATAGACCCCCTCAGTCCCCTCAGCTGCCGAGGAGGGGGGATGGGGGATGGTACCGTGGCTTGCAACGTGGGCAGGTGACACCCACTGGTGCCCATGCTCTGGGCACCCTGGGACCCTCCATGGGTTCTCCCCGGCTGCAGGACAAGGAGAAGGCTGGAGCTTCCAGCCTGGCTGTCCGTGGGTGGCACCTGCTGCGAGCCTTGGCCCTTGCATGCTGGGGAGCTGGCCCCTTTGGGACAGGTGGGCCCTGCAGCCTTGGGCTGGCCGGCCCCCATGTCTGTTGCCAGAAGGACCTTTACTAGCCTTGCTCTGCGTGCCCCATCTGCCTGCCCCCGGGTGCGAGGAATGACCATGGCACCATGGGCTCACTGGCCCTGCTTGGCCTCCATCACAGCGCTGCCAGGGGCCGGGACTGCACCCATGCTTGGCCTCAGCACCGAGACACCCCCCCCTCCCCATTGCCTCCATTTCAGCTCAGCATGCAGCACCAATGGGATAGCCTGTGGGCAGGGGTGCCCAGTGGGGAAGGGGTGCCCCTGGGGGGAGGTAGAGGGGCCAGAGGATGAAGAGCAAAAATGTGTCCTCACCCAGCTTCAGGGATACCCAGGAAAAATGTATCCCCTTTGCCAGCCCTTGCAGTCCCATGCAGGACCCATGATGTGACACCTGGGGCCATGTCCTCCTTCATGGTGTTATTTCCTTCCTACCCTAGTCTTTTCCCTGCCCCCTTCCCCAGCTCGGAGCTTTCTGCTGCTCTTGGTTTGATCCTCTTGGCCTAACTTGTCCCATTCGACACCCTGAGCCTGTCCTGCCTTGCACCCCCTCCTTCACCCATGCGTGCATGCATGGCTCG